CACGCACGCACACTATTTTTAGGAAGGTTCGTGAATGGAATCTTTTAAAAAGATCCTTTAATAAAAATAAATGATAATTATGTAATGTGATAGCGGTGCTAAATATCACTACAATGACAATCATATTACAATATATAAATGTATCAAATTAATACACCATACAAGTTACATTTATACAATGTCAGATGTCAAATATATTCAATAAAAATCATCCCATTAAATATTACTTATTATGCAACAGGCATTGTTATAGACATTGAGGGTACAGCAGCGAATAAAACAGACACAAATCCCTGCCTTCATGGAGATTACAATCTTGTGGAAGATTTTTGGGGGCCATCTGCTTGGAAAAGAATTCCACAGAAATATACTGTCTGTTAGAACATACCCAACGGCGTCAGATTCAGCATTAGTATTACAAATAATTCTTTTTCTGATTGGAAGGGACATTATTTCTATTCATGATTTCTCCTTGTGGAGAGCCCCCCCACAAGGCTGCACGTCAGATTTCTTTCTAGCTAGGTCATTTTCTGTCCATAGAACCCCACGTGGATGCACTTTGAAATGCTGTAAAAACAAGAAGTCTCTAAATGGCAGTTTTGTAATATTGCAGTCCCACATTCCGAAAGAATATTTCTCTGTAACTGCTAGCCGGGGTGACACTATAAGATTGGATTCATCATGCCTCAGCAAGCCACATCCTGGGAAAGCAACAGCAGTTGGTGGACAAAAGAAGCTATGGTTCTCATGTCCACGAAACAGACACTGGCTGGGGAAGAAACAATAAGGGTAACCTTCCCCTAAGCCCAGGTTCGAGAAGATGTTAACTATTCCTCAAGTAACAGCTATCACCTAAATGTCAAATTAGCATGGAAAGGAGAAGATGAAAAAAAAAAGGGACACATATACCAGTATATCATTGAAAAATGAGAGTTGGGGAGACTTGGAAGCCCCAAAACTCCAGATGGGGATTCATGCTAACCAGAAACCTTAAACAATAACATCTACCCCCTGACATTTATGTTCTCAGTACAGGTGTTTAGGGCTTAAGACATAAAAGTGAAGCTATCTATTCATTTTGATATTAAGGATCAAAATCAAGGCCTAGGAAAAATAGGATGATATAAAAATCTGAGAGCCCTTGCCTAAAAATCAGGACACATGGTGTCTAATCCTGGTTTTACCAATGACTCATTTGATCATGGACAAATTCTCTTCTCCATTCTCTCAGGGAGCTACATGAAAAAAGGGATTTCTCAAAATCCTCCAGTTCCAATAGTTTGTAATTCTCTAATAGCTTTGTCTTTCATTTTGGTGCCAAATTAGTGAAAAGTACAGCCGTCTCTAGTCATGTTCACAATCCAACATGCCATCAGAAGTTCACAGAGCCCAGAGCCCAACATTCTGAGCTTATGAGTAAACGAGAACGGCCAAAACAATAATAACCAAGTTGAAATGCAGCCGATCATTCTTCTGTCCAGGGCAACAGCTTTGTTTATTTGAATTATAAAGTGGCTAGTTCCTTAGGATGGAAAAGTAACACAAGGAAACTTAATTGAGAGTACTATAACTAGGGCAATCTAACTGATGAGTAATTGACCCCGCACCCCATTTCTCTTTCTGCTTTTGCAGCTTCTTCATTTGCCAGGAGCCTGGGATGTTGGTGATTACTGTCAATCAGCAGAGACCTCCACTGATATACACTCGCAGATAAAGGCTACATAGATGCTCAGATTTTGCGAAGAGTGGTTAAAAAAACAAACAAACACTGTGTTGGTCTGATTGCAAATCTGTGGCAGGTAATAATATACTCTGTGGGAGCCAATTACCTACCACTGTTCCAGAGCTGCCAAGCAAATGACCCATTCATTCTCTCTGATTTCTGACACTGGATTGGTTTGCTCACCCTCTCGCCAACTCCCACACCCAGAGTTGCTGTGCCCTCGGTTGCCTACCTTCTCCTCACTTAGGATGCCTTTCCATCCTCGTTGTGGTCTCACCTATTGCAGCTTAATTACCCATCACCTGCTTTTATATCTCAGACCACATCCTCATTTGGTTTCTGAAAGCAAATACAGGATATCCT